ATGATCACTGCAGATGGTGACAGTAGCCACAAAATTAAAAGACTCCTGCTTCTTGGGAGGAAAGCAATGACAAATCTAGACAGCATCTTAAAAAGCAGAGACAGCACCTTGCCGACAAAGGTCCGCATCGTCAAAGCTATGGTTTTTCCTGTCGTGATGTATGGAAGTGAGAGCTGGACCATAAAGAAGGTTGACCACCAAAGTATTGATGCTTTTGAACTGTGGTGCTGGAGGAGACTCTTGAGAACCCCCTGGACTGCAAGGAGAACAAACCTATCAATTCTGAAGGAAATCAACCCTGAGTGCCCACTGGAAGGACAGATCCTGAAGCTGAGGCTCCAATACTTTGGCCATCTCATGAGAAGAGACAATTTCCTTTAAAAGACCCTGATGTTGGGAAAGTGTGAAGGCAAGAGGAGAAGGGGATGATAGAGGATGAGATGGATAGACAGTGTCATCGAAGCGACCAATATGAATCTGACCCAACTCCGAGAGGCAGTGGAAGATAGGAGGGCCTGGTGTGCTCTGGTCCATGGGATCACGAAGAGTCAGACACTGACTTAACTAAACAACAACAATGAGGGACCTGCTGAGAGGTCTTGGATCACTTTGTCTCAAAACAAAACTGACTCCGAATCCTGTGACTGTCAGCCTAAGAGGGATATGTTAGTGGACAATAAAACAGAGAGAACCAGTTAAGGATTTTGAAGTATTTAGGAATTAAGTTCAATCATTTTTACCTAGGTATGCCTTCTTCTCTTGTGAAGGCAAGAGGAGAAGGGGACGACCGAGGATGAGATGGCTGGACAGTGTCACCGAAGCAACCAAAATGAATCTGACCCAACTCCGGAAGGCAGTGGAAGACAGGAGGGCCTGGCGTGCTCTGGTCCATGGGGTCACGAATAGTCGGACACGACTAAATGAAACGAAATGATGCTATTCAGAATACATAAAATATCTGGCCTTTCAACACCTTTCCTTTATTATGTTTTAAAAATATTTTAAAAGGTGACTACACAATGCACATGGGAAAAAATATTTTAAAAGGTGACTACACAATGCACGTGGGAGCACAGATTTTTTTGACCAGGGAATCATGTTATTTTGATTGAACTTGAGGTCGTTTGCTCTTTGCCAGAGTGTTATTTTAATTTGGATGCAAAATTGATATATTTTGAATCATTTGGGCATGTTTAAATGCCTCCATCAGCATAAATTGTATCTATGGGGCTTGTCACCCATACGTATGCCTTCCCTCTTTCCCCACCTCATGCATCTGTGTGTGCATGCACACCCCCGTCCTTTGCAAGCCTAGAAGTGTGGATCTAGTCAAAATGTCTGGTCAGATTCAGGCCAGCTCAGGCATCTCCCTCTTTTACAAACCTAGACAGTTTCGGGGGGGGGGGTTTATTTTATTTTTGTCGGCACTATTTCAGATTGCAAAAAATTAAAAATTATTAATAACACTAGAGCTTCAGTGGCTGGTGGGTATGAGAGCCAGCCAGTGTGAGGGCAGGCAGGCATAGGACAAAGTCTCATGTGATGATTCTGAAAGCTATGTAGCCCCCTCAACCAATATACAACTCAGTATTAAAGCAAATTAAAAGTTTTCCCAAGAGGATGCATGCAATAAACCAAAAACTATGTGACTATCATATGACTTTAAAACAAATTCAAAACCCTCAATCCTTCACCTGATTTATTTACAGTTCAGGAAAACTGCACTGTCAGAGGCAAAGATGAGGAGCAGACTTTATATCAGTAAATCAAGAGATCAAATTTAGAAAATCACACTCCTTTGTTTGGTTTAAACCAATTATGGCCAGATTGGTAGTCATATCTGCCATTCTGTCTACTGTTGGAAATACCATGATCAGCCAGGTGTGGTAAATTCCGCCACTATACAAAATCTAGTTTTAAAGCATGGCTGTCTCTCAGGGCACTCATTGCTAATCTCAAAGTTTGTATTGAAGTGGTGGTGGGGACTTACAAAAGGAGACCAGGGGGAAAGAGCTGGAATGGATTGTACCTATTAAATTCCTGTGTGCATCTGAATGGATAAATAAGCTGGTTGCTTTCTTTTTATTTTCTGGTCGAAGGGCTCATTTAAGACATACCCAGCTGGCTTTAAAGTGAGTTTAACAAATCTAAGACATTCTCCCCTCGCCCAGGTATATCAGGAGCCTGGTATCCATAAATATGGCTGAGTGTGTCAGTGAATAATTGCTATCGGTGGAAGTCCTTTTCTTATTTATTTATTTATTTACCACCCTAGTGGCAATGCACTACTCTGGGCAGTGAACAAAGGAAGACAAGAGTAACACAATCAACCAAGAAAACAAAACAATATTAAGGACATAATATAACCAAAAAGAATCAGTTTTTTAAAAGTTCGAATCCTTCCTCACTTAAGTTAGCATCTCTAGAATCTATGGACCTTAGATTTTACTGATTTTCCAACTCACACTAGCATTTTAGCCTGGTATTCTGGCCCCACAGACTCATGCTAACAAGATAAAGACTTCTGCCAACCTGCTCACACCTGAACTTTTTATATGCTTCTAAAGTGATATGATAATGTTAATGTTGGGGAGCAAAAAGTGTCGTCATTAAGACAGACATTGCTAGGCTGGCAGATTAATGCAAGACACCAAATATTTCACTGATTGATCTCTGACAAGCTTTCACACCTAAAATGGGGTGGTATAAAGTCTGCCTTAGAGTGTTGTTGTAGATGATCGAAGTAAATGAATTCTAACTTGACAGATTTTCAGTCAGGGTTCTGGCTGCAGCAACAGACTTTTGCAACTTTTATTTTATTTTGCTTAAATACTTCTGTTTCTTAGTAACTCTTATAAAAAAACACATAAACTTATATGTATATATTTACAGAAACAGTATTGTAGAACCTAAGATGGTAATGGGGATCAAACAGATAATTTCTGGAAACACCAACAAAAAGGGAGCATTTAACATTCCAAGATACAGTAGATGGTTTTGTGGGGAGGGAGTCCTAGTTCTCAGGTATACTAACTGCGCCATTTCTTTTCACATGGTAACAAACACAAGCACTTCTGGTCAAAAGGAATAATAAAACAGCTTTTCTTGTCTGTAGGCTTTATTCCGGGCACATGATCAGACACATGGCATTTATTTTGACAGCTATGAACATCATTTCTGGTCATGTGGCTTTTGTTTTGGTCACATGGTCAAGCACATGGCAGTCACGTGATTCCATTTTGAGGAAAACCAAGCAAAATCTTTGATCAAAACTCTTTGCACTTTAATGACAGCTCCATGCTTACCTGTGGACAGCTAATCATTTTAGCTGCACCCCAGATGTTCAGAAATGAACATTTTGAAAGCTCGTTACTTGTGTTAATAAAACTATTGTCACTTTCAGTGTTTATTATCTTCATTTGTTTACCTCTTCTTCTTGCCCAGCTCTCTTTACCATGTGCATAAACTTGTGGCTAAATATTACACTCCATGTGTCTGAGAAACTGGGTTGTAATCCACCGAAGCTCAGACAGAAATAAGTCTGTTAAGTGCCACACTCCTTTTGATTTTGTTTTGTTATACAATGCTGTCTTCCAAACAAAACAAAACTCTGGCACATTTACCTGACACTTCCAACTGTTAAACAAAGAGCAAAGAATGCCTGAAAATATTTTCATGTGCTAGGAATGTTATTTGAGCTATGTGATCTGGAGTCGTGCACTTCCTCATTTAATCAATTGTGTGCCATCAAGTCAATTCTGTCTTATGGTGACTCTTTTCAGAGTTTTCCAGGTAGAAAATACTCAGAAGTCGTTTGCCATTCCCTTCTTCTGGGGGTGCCCTGGAACTGTGCGGCTGGCCCAAAGCCACCAAAGTGAACTCCCAACCTCTGGCTCCACAGGCAAAACCTAAATCACTGAGCTATCCAGCCAGCGTACACTTCCTGTTTAGATGTAAAGGTAACAGAAGAAAAAGTAGCTTTTGTTTCATTTACCTGGGGATAAACTCTATTGAGTCCTTCATCTGAGCAGAAATATATGAGATTGTACTGTTAATATGAAGAATTAAATGAGGAGAGGGCAGAGTTCATTTACCTGGGGATAAACTCTATTGAGAATTAAATGAGGAGTGGGCAGAACTTTGTTTTGACTTGCCTTGGTCCAGCAATATCACAATTGGAAGGTCTTTCATCCTACCTGCTACTTGACCCTTATAAGGGATGCAGATGCACAGAAAAGAATCTGGGATTCTCTCCATACACAGAAGGTATTCTCCCACGAAGCAAAACCCATGCCATCAAAAAGCATGGCTTCTCTGAATGCTCTTCCTGATCAAGGAAAGTTTGTAGTCAGTGATGGAGCACCTAGACTCAGTCCTTGGTGTCCCCAAGAAGGGCTTGAAAGGATCAGCCTCGAAATCCCGATCCTAGTCAGAGTTGTTAAACACTGAGCTAGAGCGGCCCAGGCGTCTGCATGGCATAAAGCAGCTTGCTGTGTTCTTATGAGGACTGCATGTCAGAGACCAGGACTGGCAAAGACAATCTATCAGTCAAAAGTGTCACCACCTGATGGGCAACAAGGATGGGGGCAGGAACATGGGGGGTTCAGAGAAATGGAACAAAGTGGGATTCTACATCCCTCAGTAGATTTTACTTCCAGGTAAACCTGTATAGGATTTTGCTGTATGGCTGCAGTCCACCCTTCGCCACGACAAGGCAGCAATCCATGAAGAAGAAAGCACAATTACCTATGAGTAAAGGCAAGAGGAGAAGGGGATGACAGAAGACTAGATGGATGGACAGGGTCATTGAAGCGACCAACATGAATATGACCCAACTCCGGGAGGCAGTGGAAGATAGGAAGGCCTGGCGTGCTCTGGTCCACGGGGTCACCGGACACGACTTGACTAAACAACAACAACAACAACACCCATGGTTGCATCTCAGTAAACCCGTATAAAAGGAGGCTATAGTGCATTTGACTGAAAGCTGGAAACGGGGATTGTGAAAGGAGAGGACTTCATAAGGAATGGGTGAGTGCTTCATCCCTCTCAAATTTCTATCCCATTCATATCTATCTCCTCGGTGGGACTGATTCCCCCCTCCCAAGGTAGAATAAAAGGATTCTGAAGAAGGAATCTACTAGGGTGGAAACCTGCAGCTGAATCGTTCTGTGCCCCTGGCCTTCCAACCTCTGTTTCGAGATCTCAAAAGCAAGAGAGTGCTCCACCGCGGCCCCCACCCCCCACCAAGGGAGTCCTGCTCCGCTCTCCAGCAGCTCTTCTCCGTGGAGAAGTTCCTTCTAAGTTTTGTCCGACGAGTGTACAAGGTACACCCCCCCCCCAAACACACACACACACACCCATTGATCTTCCGCGCAACGAGAGAATCCGTCCTTCCGATGAAGAGCAGTTTTCTTAAAACAGGAGAGCCGGTCAGTACGACCTGGAAAGCATGAGAAAAGATCAGAGACAGAGTTGGGGCAGCGGGTCATACTCCTCCTCTGTTTCCCTCTTCCCCCCACCCCGTATCCACAGCACTGCTATGGGGCATTCGACCTTGGAGCTTCCCGGCAGAAGGGGCGAACAGGCGCCGTGGGCCAAGGCCAATTACTGCCCCGCCGCCGGGCTCTCAGGAAGGGTGCTTGAGGGTGCCACTGGCGGTGCCAAAGGTAGCAGGACCCGAGGGAGTGTTTTAAACGGCCGGAGAGGGAGGGGAAGAGGGAGAGAGGGTGTGCGCTGGTCCCCCGCCCCTTCCCTCGGAAGGCAGGGCTGGAAAAGCACCTTGGACTTTCTCCCAAGGCTGGGGAAGGCCCCTTATCTGGGCGCCTAGGTGGCTCAGCCTTTGGCCCGCGCTCCTCCTCTGCGCGATTCACTGGTCTTACTGGAATGTCTCCCAACATCCCCTCTTATCTCAATTTGTACTGTATTTTTTCCTTATGTTCCTGTACCTTTTTATCTCCCCCATTCCCTAAACTCCGCCACCGGCGCCGCAGGTGATGGCCGAGTCTCTCTGGGCAGGTTTGGCACCCGGCCGCCTGCGCCCATACCTGGCAGGAGCGGGGCCCTCGCAAAGAAGCCGGAGGGCTGCCTGCGCAAACAAGTCTTCGGGCAGCGGGGGCTCTCCTCCCCAAAGCCCGCCTCGCTCCGCTCCGCTTCCCGTCTCTAAATCCCCCTTTTCTGGAGCTGCCCGCTTCTCCTTTTTTACGCACGCAGGTCTTCTGTTCACGCGTGCCGCCCGCGATTTGCTCTTGCCGCCGCCCCCGCCCCCGGGAGTTGGGCGTCGATCCGGGGAGAGGGGGCGCCGGTAGTTCGGCTTTTACGCCCCGACACACCAGGGATCGGGTGTGTTTGTGGGGCGCCCGGCGGAGCCCCGCGACCTG